TCAACAGTGGCCGGAAGCATCAACTGTGGAATCCTGAGGGGGAAGTCACCCCCTCAGCATAGAAGTTGATGGTTGACCTGGTCAACAATTTTTTTACAAGTCTTTTCTCCCCTTTGAGAATGTAGCTTGTGAGAAAAGATTTAATTCATTTTGACTTTTCAAAAAATGCAAAGTTTTGAAAATAATCAAAAAAGTGCACTTAACTTTTTGTCCCCTCCCCCCCACTGGGAAATTGTGAAAGTTAAAAAAACCCCAACAAATTAAGAGTAAGAAAATAAATGTTAAACCCTTTCCCACGCTCTGTGTGTGTGTGTGTGTGTGTGTGTGCACGTACATTTACGTGTGTACTACAGAGGAGACTACCCCAAAATTCAAAATGTTTCTAAACAAAGGTTTTCAATTTGAAAAATAATTGTTTCAAGTTTTCTCTTAAAATGTGAAAATTATCTAATGTAGTGAAGACCTTTCCCAGTAAGTCTTCAGGGAAAAACGATTGTCCTTTTAATAAGCTTGGTACAGTCTCCAAGATAAGGGACCTGGGGTGAAACCTGGACACTTAAGTCAATGGAAGTTTTGTGCTAGACTTCAACAGGGCCAGGATTTCACCTCAGGTCCTTTACCTCAAGCAGTCCCACGTTCAATTCCACAAATGAGCCAAGGACCTGGGTTCAGTACCCATAAGTGATCTTCCCCTCCCCAAAGACAATGTGTATGTGTGTGTGTGTATATACACACACACACACACACACACACACTACCCTTGAAATTCATTTGCACATTGCAGAATCCTGGCAGTCTGACTGCTCCAAGACCTTGAAAACCTGGTGATTCCAATGCCCACAAACTGTAGTACACTGCCTGTTATTCAGTGAGTGCACTTCAGCATCTCTCTATTGGTGTAGTAGTAAAGATATGAAAGAGGCTGAAAACTTAAATACAAGTACAAGCCCTTGTCTAGATTAAGGAACTCAATATTGTTAACCCCAAGCATTTAAAAATCATGTCAGGCCCCAAGAAATCATGAGACTGGACTAAACTCCATGCGATTATTTTAAAATGGTACGTTTGGGGTTGTTTGTGTTTACCTGCTGGTTTCTGAGCCTCTAGAGTGCATTCAGGTCACATTTTCAAGCTTCTTTGCAGCCTCGAGGGCTAACATTTAAAAAAAATTAAAGCTGAGATTCTCAGAGAACCCTAGGATTCCAGCAGCACTGTAACTGCACTGATGTAGTTATATCTCTGCAACCCCCTACTGTAGGTGTGCTGTACTGGTGCAGAAGAGGGTTTCCATCAGTTACTTGATTACACTGTGACAGTGTAAGCCCGCACATTAGTTTGGCGTACCCCCTTCCTAACTCCTCAGTTTTCCTTCTTTCTACCAAACCACCGCCACCCAACTAGTGCCTCCAACTAAATCTCCCCTTCGGAGTCCAGTTTATTTACATGTTTACAGTTCCACTCAACGTAAATCATCCAGCCCTCTCCCCATGCCTATATGGTCCTTCCAAACCTCCGTGTATATGGGGACCAGACCAGACCACATTCTCTGCACCAACTTCTTTGGCTAAGTCCCTCCCTGGATCCATTCACTGGCTCCTACCGAGCCACTGGGGAGAGCCACTTCTAAAGCCTTACCCCAACATTGATCTCTCCTAGGCAAAGCCAAGAACTTTGCCTTAGATAGTTGTGACACAGAGGTATAGGAAAACGAATAACTCACTGATTATTAATATTCTCACATGATGTATGTACAGTAAACCCACAAAGAACTATAGACTGTAGTGTGTGTAGAGATGTGCTGGAAAGATGTTCCTAAAATGTATTTGGCAAGGAGTGTCTAAATCATGCCTGTGGCTTGCTCCAGACAAAGAAAGGAGCTTCCACCTGCTTGAATGTGTTTTCAATGTAAGTTAGGCAAGGTGTGACCACATAAAGAAAAGTATATTTACAGACAAGGTAAACAAAACCATCAGGAGAGCAAGTAGGAAAGGTGACTACTTAATCTCGACAAGGGATAGAGACTGCCCCCCCAGGAAGCCCTCCAGAAGCAGGGTCAATGAACTTTGGGACAAGATAAGCAGAGAGGAAAAGCCATTTTGACATTCAACCCTGGAGGGACTACAGGGGCCAGAGCTCTTGAAATCACAGAACATTCCATTCTTCAGTCAAGGGCTTTTAGGTCTCTGGGAACTGCATATAGGTGAGAATCCTGCTTAGATTGTAACTTGCTGAAATTAAGTTTTAGTCTTAGGGTATGTCTACACTACGAAATTAGGTCTAATTTATAGAAATTAGTTTTTTAGAAATCGTTTTTATATAGTCGATTGTGTGTGTCCCCACACAAAATGCTCTAAGTGCATTAAGTGCATTAACTCAGCGGAGTGCTTCCACAGTACTGAGGCTAGTGTCAACTCCTGGAGCATTGCACTGTGGGTAGCTATCCCACAGTTCCCGCAGTCTCTGCCACCCACTGGAATTCTGGGTTGAGATCCCAATGCTTAATGGGGCAAAAACATTGTTGTGGGTAGTTCTGGGTACATGTCGTCAGGCCCTCCCTCCCTCCCTCTGTGAAAGCAAAGGCAGACAATCGTTTCGCTCCTTTTTTCCTGGGTTACCTGTGCAGATGCCATAACACGGCAAGCATGGATCCCGCTCAGCTCACTGTCACCGTATGTCTCCTGGGTGCTGGCAGACGTGGTACTGCATTGCTACACAGCAGCAACCCATTGCCTTGTGGCAGCAGACAGTGCAATATGCCTGATAACCATTGTCATCATGTCCTAGGTGCTCTTGGCTACCTCAGTAAGGTCGGTGAGGAGCGCCTGGGCAGACATGGGCGCAGGGACTGAAATAGGAGTGACTCAACCAGGTCATTCTCTTTAGTCCTGTCAGCGGTCGTATTGCACTGTCTTCTGGCGAGCAGCCAGGAGATGAGGATGGCTAGTGGTCCTATTGCACCGCCTTCTGGCGAGCAGCCAGGAGATGAGGATGGCTAGTAGTCCTATTGCACCATCTTCTGCCAAGCAGCCAGGAGATGAGGATGGCTCGCAGTCCTACTGCACCATCTGCTGCCAGCCAAAGACGTAAAAGATAGATGGAGTGCATCAAAACAAGAAATAGACCAGATTTGTTTTCTATTCATTTGCTCCCCCGTCCCTCCCTCCATGAAATCAATGGCTGACAATCATTTAGATTAAGTCTGTCAGGGACACCTTGAAAAGTTTAATGGAGATTCAGTCCTACCTGGACCACCAGGAGGAGGGATAGCACAGTGGGTTGAGCATTGGCCTGCTAAACCCAGGTTTTTGAGTTCAATCCTTGAGGGGGGCTATTCTGTGTGACACTTGTTTTTGTTTCTCCTTGATGTAAAGCCACCCCCTTTGTTGATTTTAATTCCCTGTAAGCCAACCCTGTAAGCCATGTCGTCAGTCGCCCCTCCCTCCATCAGAGATTCAATGGCAGACAATCGTTCCATGCCTTTTTTCTGTGCAGACATCATACCAACCATGGAGCCTGCTCAGATCACTTTGGCAATTAGGAGCACATTAAACACCACACGCATTATCCAGCCATATATGCAGCACCAGAACCTGCCAAAGCAAAACCGGGTGAGTAGGTGACATCAGCAATGAGGACATGGACACAGATTTCTCTCAAAGTACAGGCCCTGGCAATTTGGACATCCTGGTGGCAATGGGGCAGGCTCATGCCATGGAATGCCAATTCTGGGCCTGGAAAACAAGCACAGACTGATGGGACCACATAGTGTTGCAGGTCTGGGATGATTCCCAGTGGCTGCGAAACTTTCGCATGCATAAGGGCACTTTCATGGAACTTTGTGACTTGCTTTCCCCTGCCCTGAAGCACCAGAATACCAAGATGAGAGCAGCCCTCACAGTTGAGAAGCGAGTGGTGATAGCCCTGTTGTAGCTTGCAACGCCAGACAGCAACCGGTCAGTTGGGAATCAATTTGGAGTGGGCAAATCTACTGTGGGGGGCTGCTGTGATGCAAGTAGCCAACACAATCAAAGATCTGCTGATATCAAGGGTAGTGACCCTAGAAAATGTGCAGGTCATAGTGGATGGCTTTGCTGCAATGGGATTCCCTAACTGTGGTGGGGCCATAGACGGAACCCATATCCCTATCTTGGGACCGGAGCACCAAGCCGGCGAGTACATAAACCGCAAGGGCTACTTTTCAATAGTGCTGCAAGCACTGGTGGATCACAAGGGACGTTTCACCAACATCAACGTGGGATGGCCGGGAAAGGTACATGATGCTCGCATCTTCAGGAACTCTGGTCTGTTTCAAAAGCTGCAGGAAGGGACTTTATTCCCAGACCAGAAAATAACCATTGGGGATGTTGAAATGCCTATAGTTATCCTTGGGGACCCAGCCTACCCCTTAATGCCATGGCTCATGAAGCCATACACAGGCAGCCTGGACAGTAGTTAGGAGTAGTTCAACTATAGCCTGAGCAAGTGCAGAATGGTGGTAGAATTTTAAATGTCCAAATGCACATTTAAAAGTGCGCTGGTGCAGTTTACTGACCCACTTAGACCACAGCGAAACCAATATTCCCATTGTTATTACTGCTTGCTGTGTGCTCCACAGTATCTGTGAGAGTAAAGGGGAAGACGTTTATGGCAGAATGGGAGGTTGAGGCAAATTGCCTGGCCTCTGGTTATGCACAGCCAGACACCAGGGCGGTTAGAAGAGCACTGGAGGGCGCAGTGTGCATCAGAGAAGCTTTGAAAACCAGTTTCATGACCGGCCAGGCTATGGTGTGACAGTTCTGTTTGTTTCTCCTTGATGAACCCCCCCCCTCCAAGATCACTCTACTTCCCTGTAAGCTAACCACCCTCCCCTCCCCCCTTCGATCAACGCTTGCAGAGGCAATAAAGTCAGTGTTGCTTCACATTCATGCATTCTTTATTAAATTCACCACACAAATAGGGGGATAGGTAGCCTGGGAGGGGTGAGGGAGGAGGGAAAGACAAGGCCACACAGCACTTTAAAACTTATTGAATGCCAGCCTTCTGTTGCTTGGGCAATCCTCTGGGGTGGAGTGGCTGGGTGGCCGGAGGCCCCTCTGTGTTCTTGGGCACCTGGGAGAGGAGGCTATGGAACATGGGGAGGAGGGTGGTTGGTTACACAGGGGCTGTAGTGGTGGTCTGTGCTCCAGCTGCCTTTCCTGCAGCTCAATCATATGCTGGAGTATATTAGTTTGATCCTCCAGCAGCCTCAGCACTGAATCCTGTCTCCTCTCATCACGCTGCCGCCACCTCTCCTCCTGGTCATTTTGTGCTTTCCTGCACTGTGACATTGTCTGCCTCCACGCATTCGTCTGTGCTCTGTCAGTGTGGGAGGACAGCATGCGGTCAGAGAACATTTCATCACGAGTGCGTTTTTTTCGCCTTGTAATCCTTGCTAGCCTCTGGGAAGGAGAAGATCCTGTGATCATTGAAACACATGCAGCTGGTGGAGAAAAAAAAAGGGACAGTGGTATTTAAAGAGACATTTTATAGAACAATGGGTACACTCTTTCATGGTAAACCTTGCTGTTAACATTATATACATAGCACATGTGCTTTCGTTACAAGGTTGCATTTTGCCTCCCCCCACCACTTGGCTAACCCCTCACTCCTACACGTGGCTAACAGCAGGGAGCATTTCTGTTCATCCACAGGCAAACAGCCCAGCAGGAACGGGCACCTCTGAATATCCCCTTAAGAAAAGCACCCTATTTCAACCAGGTGATCCTGAATGATATCACTCTCCTGAGGATAACACAGAGAGATAAAGAATGGATGTTTGAATGCCAGCAAACATATGCTGCAATGCTTTGTTCTGCAATGATTCCCGACTACATGCTACTGGCCTGGTGTGGTAAAGTGTCCTACCATGGTGGATGGAATAAGGCTGCCCTCTCCAGAAACCTTTTGCAAAGGTTTTGGGAGTACATCCAGGAGAACTTTATGGAGTTGTCCCTGGAGAGGATTTCCGCTCCATCCCCAGACACGTTAACAGACTTTTCCAGTAGCTGTACTGGCTGCGAATGCCAGGGCAAATTAAACGCACTTGCTTTTAAACCATGTATTTAAACTATTTAAAAAAGGTACACTCACCAGAGGTCCCTTCTCTGCCTGGCAGGTCCGGGAGGCAGCCTTGGGTGGGTCCTGGCTCCAGGTCCAGGGTGAGAAACAGTTCCTGGCTGTTGGGAAAACCGGTTTCTCTGCTTGCTTGCTGTGAGCCATCTACAACCTCCTCCTCCTCCTCATCTTCCTCATCCCCTAAACCTGCTTCTGTGTTGCCTCCCTCTCCATTGACAGAGTCAAAGCACACGGTTGGGGTAGTGGTGGCTGAACCCCCTAAAATGGCATGCAACTCATCATAGAAGTGGCATGTTTGGGGCTCTGACCCAGAGCGGCTGTTTGCCTCTCTGGTTTTCTGGTAGACTTGCCTCAGCTCCTTAAGTTTCATGCAGCACTGCTTTGGGTCCCTCTTATGGCCCCTGTCATGCCCTGGGAGATTTTGACAAATGTTTTGGCATTTCGAAAACTGGAATGGAGTTCTGATAGCACAGATTCCTCTCCCCATATGGGAACTGATCCTGTACCTCCCGTTCAGTCCATGCTGGAGCTCTTTTGCAATTCTGGGACTCCATCATGGTCACCTCTGCTGATGAGCTCTGCACGGTCACCTGCAGCTTGCCTCTCTGGCCAAACAGGAAATGAGATTCAAAAGTTTGCAGGCCTTTTCCTATCTACCTGGCCAGTGCATCTGAGTTGAGAGTGCTGTCCAGAGCAGTCACAATGGAGCACTCTGGGATAGCTCCCAGAGGCCAATACCGTTGAATAGTGTCCACAGTTCCCCAAATTCGACCCAGCAAGGCCAATTTCAGTGCTAATCCCCTCGTCGGGGGGAGAGTAAAGAAATCGATTTTAAGAGCCCTTTAAGTTGGAAAAAAGGGCTTTGTCATGTGGATGGGTGCAGGGTTAAATCGATTTAATGCTGCTAAATTTGACTTCAACTCCTAGTGTACACCAGGGCTTAGAAGTGTATTTTTACTTGTTTGTAACCATTTCTATCCTATTCCTTATACTCGATATCCCTTAAACCTACGGCCTTATGTTCAGTACATTTGTTTTGCTTTATTATAAACCAATTTGGTGCTTTGATTAAAATAGAGCATTTGTTAACCTCAGTTAAAGTAATAAGCTGCTGGGTAGAGTTCCGTTAGGGAGTAGCGAACTTAACTTCTGTAAGTGCTCAGTGGGAGGGCTGGTGGAAACTACAGGACAGATGGCTTTGGGGAAATTCAGGACTGGGGGTGGTTGGGTCTGGCTTGAACCCTAAAGTGTCACTGTAGTTCCTACAGACAGTCACTTGATCCCCTGTCAGCTGTCCCATTAGTCCTGTGCTGACTGGAGGCTACAAATTCCCAGTTTTACAGAGGTCTAGCTCCCAGATAGCATGCTGGGCTACACGTGCACCCAAAGGGCCAGTGACCTGCTACAGTTCCACTTTGAACACACACAGTCCATCTATGTTAGGGGGCTGTGCTGCATTGGAATAACTATATCAGTAAAGTTCCTTAATGCAGATAGGACATTGGAAGGGTCAGTTGTTCCCTAATGGATTATGCCCACTCCTTATTGGTATTTACAGAAAACCAATAGCTGCCTTTAAAATTGGCTGGAGCGTGTGTATATGGAGGCAGCATTTTTGATCTGACTTCAGGAACATGGCACTGTGAAAGGGAGGAGGTGAAGGCAGTCACAGGAGTTGGGACAGGACTTTATGTGACACAAACTGCTAGCTAGATAACTGTTCAAGTACAACTGCTCGCAACTTCTGAACAGTAAACTTTGCTGCTCCTCTAGCTGTTGAGCATGCAGTCCCATTCATAGCAGGAGCTATGTCTATATTGTAAGGATTAGGAGGCAGACAGATTCAGTGATTTGCTAGAAGGTCTGTGACAGAACTGGGAATGGAGTCCGGAGTCCCAGTCAAGCCCTTAAACCTAACACCAGCCTTCTCAGTCCTAACCCGTGAGGACGAAAGATTTTTCCCATTAGATGGTTACACTGCAGGCCAGACTCTGGTCTCACCTACACCCATCTACATCCCCACTGATTCCATCACTTGTCTTACACAGAAGTGGGAGAGCAGATTTTACGCCTGATGATGCTGGAATGCTCTTCTCATTAATCTATGCCAAAGTGAGTCTTGTGATACAGTACAAGATTTAATGACATTTTTAGTTCTGCTCTTGGGGTACTTGGTTTTTTAATGGTATGTTTTTGAGTGAATTACTAGCTAAATTGAAAAAGATGGGGATCAATATGAAAACTGAAAGGTGGATAAGGAACTGGCCGTTAGGAGTGGCCATCACGGACTGTACCAGACCCCTGCCAAAAGGGGTTAGACTTTGGGGTATGGTTAGCCATTTGCTGCGAAGAGAAGAACCGATTATAACAGCCGCCCCCCCCCAAAGGGGGGGGGAGCGTGTGCCAGGAAGCACTGCTGGACAGCAGTGTCCTGAAGAGGACCCTGCGAGAAGGGAGCAATGCGGGTCCAGATGCCCACAGAGGGTGAGAGATGGATGGGACACCACCAGTGGAGGGCGTTCCACATGGACTGAGCTAATTCCCAGAGTGACCAACAGGAGGCACTGCGGTGGTGAGTCCCAACCCTGTCACAGTTGGCAAAATATAAATTCATTTTCTATACAAAAACTACATTAAAAGACTGAAGTTGCAAACTCAAGTGAGGAAATGCTGGAAGTAAGGTTGCCTTCTATATATGCATTATGTTACCCGCTTTAATTACATGATCACATTGTCTCTTTCCTACACAACCCCTAGCTCATCCTGAGCACCGGATGGATGGTACACACTTACTAAGCAGTTATTCAGTATTGACAACTACCATAACGTGGTACACAGAGGGCTGAATTAAGTTATACTTATGTCCACACTCAGTGTCTACTCAGATTTCTCATCCCAATCCCAGTCAGTCTGTCTTTTCAAGTCACAATTCCTTGCCCTCGTCTCCTTGTTCAGCCAGACGTACCTGTCCCTTTCCCCCAGATCCTCATCCAATTTCAGTGTTCTCTCCATCCAGTCTCCTTGCCCAGCCTCTCCTCCCCGCCCCCCAACCACAGTTTCTCTTCCTCCTTCATTCCCACTCTTACACACATACACACCTTTGGTCCAGCTCTTGTCCCCTCTGCATTTGGGTCATAAATCCTCCTCCTTGCTGCTTGGGTGCCATCGGAGGGTCACTGAGAGCACAGGAGAGCCAGGCTCCCTGATCTCAGTTCCAGTGCCAGCCCCAATCCTAGCCTGGAGCAGCTGAGAACTGCAGTTGCAGGGAAAGTCCAGCTTTTCTTCCATATCCCTGGCCTGGAACATGCTCAGTCACTCTGTGAGGATAGTGCATCCCAGTCCAGTCAGCACTAGGAGCTGTGAGAGACTCGGGCATACCCACTGAAGAGGAAATCTTCTCATATTTTAGCTGCTAAAGTCCAAAAGGTATCTACTGAATGTGTGTGACCTACAATTCCCTTCCCCTCCCCACCCCCATCCCCCACAAAGGCTTAGAACTTTCCAAAATAATTCAGGCTGAAGCTCAGACATGCAGCATGGGACATTTCAGCCCAAATAGTTAGTTTAGCAAAGTTATAAGCAACTGAATGTTGGTAACAATTATTGACTATTGACCAGAAGCCTGTGCCCCAGCCAGGGTCATCTGCAGGCTAGCCTACCAATGCACGCTAGTTGCTATACCTGAGGCAGATCATGAAACCCCTCCTGGAAACTGAAGCATCTGTTTCACGGAGCAAACTATCAGACCATTGAGATTGCCTTGCACCATTGCGTCATGCTGCAGTGGTCTCTGCCCGCTTCCAAGTTCAGAACAAAGGCCTTGTCTGTCTTTACAATTCCCTAAGTAGGCTGGGCCCTGGCTACCTCACTGTGCTCCCTGGAATGGCAACTTTGTTCAAACCAGACACGTCGGAAGGTGGAGCTTTGGACCTCGATTGACATTCCCTTCCCCTGTATGTTGTCTGCTTAGGGTATTGATTTCTTGGGGCAAGTACCTTGTTGTCTGAATATGCCTATGGCGTTCTATAATATGCCAGGCAAAGGAGGAGGTGGAATACAGCTGTGGGTCTGTAAAATCCACCTGATATTAGGCAGTCTTCATATAGTCAGAGCTCGATGCAAGACTCATCTTTTTCTTTAGGTGTTTTTCTCAGCATAGGCCTGACAATCAGTATTAAATTCCAAAGAAAGGCCATTGCTCCGTTCAAGCAAAAAGACTCATCTGCCACCAGACCTGCAAAAGGATTCCAGTCAAGTTAACATTTATCAAAGGAGTGTCTTTTCTTGACTACAGTTAATGCTCTATTATAATGGCTGTTCAAGAGCCTTATCCTCAACAACAGTACCCCTTATTTTCCTTAATGCTGCAGGTGATACCTGAGCCAGGCTCAGGGCAATTGAAATCCCCAGTAAAATAATGTTAACCATATTAAAACAGTGTTAACTTATACATTCCACCGTGTGCCTTTCCATGCTGGCTGGAAGAAGATTGACTATCTTACACAGTCTCTCTAGAGACAGACCTGAACCTAAATTCCAGACCCTTCAATTTCTTTTGGTAGGGTAAGGGAGGGACTTGGGAATTTAAGATCTGGATTGCAATCCGTTTGCCAATACAGAGTGGGACTGGGATATCATCCAGGAAGATCTGGACGACCTTGTAAACTGGAGTAATAGTAACAGGATGAAATTTAAGAGTGAAAAGTGAAAGATCATGCATTTAGGGATTAACAACAAGAATTTTTGTTATAAACTGGGGACGCATCACTTGGAAGTAACAGAGGAGGGCGACGACCTCGGCGAATTGGTTGATCACAGGATGACTATGAGCCGCCAGTATGACATAGCTGTGAAAAAAGCCAACGTGGTCCTGGGATGCATCAGGCGAGGTATTGTCAGTAGAGATAAGGAGGTGCTAGTATGGTTATACAAGGCACTGGTGAGACCTCACCTGGAATAGTGTGTGCAGTTCTGGTCTCCCATGTTTAAGGGGGATGAATTCAAACTGGAACAGGTACAGAAAAGGGCTACTAGGATGCAGGGCCGTCCCTAGCTATTTTGGTGCCCTATGCAGCCCCTCCAGTGGGTGGGAGGCTGGGGGAGAGGCTCAGACCTCCACAGGGGGCGGGGGGGCTGGCCCCAGGCCTCCATGGGTGACAGGGGCTGGCCACTTCCTGTAGGAAGTGGAGTGCCCTGGACCCAGCCTGTTCTGCTCCCCTGGCTCCCAGCTGCGCTGCGCAGCTAGCAAGTTCCCCCTGCCCCCAAGCCTGGGAGCCAGGGGAGCAGAGCAGGCTGGGGTCAGGTCACTCCATTTCCCACAGGAAGCGGCCAGCCCCACCGCTCCTGCGGAGGCCTGGGGCCAGCTCCCCCCCGATGGAGGCCTGGGACCCCAGGCTTTTCTGCTCCCCTGGCTCCCAGGCTTGGGTGGGAGGAGGGAATCTTTATTAGCACATTCCCACTTTTTGTGCCAAGGTCAGTGTGACAGGGTTGGGACTCACCACTGCAGCGCCTCCTTCTGTTCACTCTGGGAATTAGCTCAGTTCATGTGGAGCGCCCTCTGCCAGTGGTGTTCCATCCATCTCTCACCCTAGATTGGCATCTCAACACTCATTGCTCCCAGCTTGCAGCATCCTCTTTAGGACACTGCCCTCTTCAGGACACTGCCCTGGTCTCACCCCCTTCCAGGGGTTTGGTGTTATCAGCAGTCCTTGTC